AAATAACATACACATTTTAATGCAGTAACAAGTAACATATATGTTAGCCTAATCAAGTTTATAGCATCCAGAGAAAGTCGATCTAATGAAAAATGTTTCATAACTTTTAAATTAAAAACTTATTAAACATTTCGATATTGGATTGATCTTCTCTGCGCGCTATATGTTTCATCAGGCTAACATAAACATATGTTATTTGTTACTCCATTAAAATGTATGTCCCAATATATATCAAATATTAGTAACATAATATTGATGTTAAAATGTCCGATCAATGAGATACCTGTTATATAACTGTTATCTGCTTGAATTGATATTTTAATATCGATGTTATGTAACTAATACTTGATGTTTACGGCGATATTTCCGAATGTACTATGTATTTAATACGTAAATATAATGTAGTTATGTTGGCTATGTTACATACCATAAATAGAACATTTAGAGCATTTGTAACGTATCTTAAATAGATCATAGAAGTACTTTTGTTGCTGACATTTCGTAGTACATGTAACCTACATGTATGTTACTTGCTACATAACTGGTCACTTCGTGATCTTTACTGTTACGTATTTAAAACATATATGTTATATTACTGTGTTTGCTGGGATTAATATTGTTAACGGTTATTACTGTTATTAATGAACATGTAGGTGTCTTATTCAATTCTTATTTATATTTTACAGCTCACAACTGTAAAATATAAATATATTTAAATATATTATAAGGAAATAAAGCAACTGCTTGCTCATGAGTTTTGCTTTTAAGGCTCCTGGGTAGTTATTGTGACTGTCCTTGTTTAATGACGTCAGAGGCGAGAAAACGCATGCCGAGATTTCGTCCGTTTTACTTTTAGTTAAAAAGATATATCCACAAAGTGACACTAGTTATCGATTCAGGACACTTACAAAATTTTCTGAATAATTTCCTTTTGCTCGAACAATCAATAAATAATCGCAAAATTAACATTGACGTAATCTTGAGAAAAGAGGTTAAAAAGAAAGGTTCCATGTTAAATTAATTTTGCGATTTATTTATTGATTGTTCGAGCAAAAGGAAAATGTTCAGATAATTTTACTAGTGTACCGAATCGATTACCAATGTCATTTTGTGGATATATCTTTTTAATTAAAGGTAAAACGGACGAAATGTTGGCATGCGTTTTCTCGCCTCTGACGTCATTAAACAAGGACAGTCACGACGATTAGCCAGGAGCCTTAATAACATTGGCACAGCATATAATTACATATTGATTGTTTTAGCTAACATTATTCATTATAAAATTTCTACGGTCCTAAAGAGGTAAACAAATATTTTATGTTTAAAGAATTTTATGTTCAAACATTCGACAGATTAAACATTTAAAAACCAAAAATTGTCAAAACAAGAAGAATATCTAGAATTAGGTACGTGTTCAGGCAATGATACTTTTATCTTAATAACATTTCTAATAATTTATCTTAATAACCATTCTAATAATTTACCTTAATAAACTCTCTTGAATTGTATGCAAATAAGATACTTACGAAGTACAGCACTGCAGCATTTTAAAGAAGAAAAGGGACGTTTATTCGTCCGTTTACCGTAAAAACTATAATTACAAGCAACGTAATCTGTTAAAAGATACTTGCAAATTCTATTAGTTTTTGATGTAAGATCTCTTCCACCTAATGTGGCTAAATATGAATACTGTAACATTAAAACTTGTATTAATAAAAATTAGAAAATTATTGGTTTACTAGCAAATATTTACCATAGTACATAAATTTTGATTATGTTTTAAGTAAGTTTCCAAAATATCTAAATTTGCTTGGGTCGATATAGGCAAATTTACTGGCAAGTCTTCTAATCAAAATTGACTCAAAGTAGTTGTAGTTTTTTGTTTGTTATTAAATATTGTCAATATCTCGTTATTTTGTTCCCTAATATGTACAAGGAGGGATAATATTTTCTTGATAAGAAAAGAAAATAATATTATGTAATAGTAATATAATGATTAGAATCTCAAACTTTTATTGCGTACAAAAAATTTGAATTTTACCTGTACTATGACAATAAACACCATCTTGAGAGTTAGTTTCAACTAACAGTCGAAATAGTTAGAGTATTATCGAAAGATGATTTACAATTATGTATTGTATCAGGTCGAATATTACTGTACGATATTTCAAGATTATTGTTGTTCAACGTATAGGGTGTTGCAATTTGCTGGGCACGTTTGAAAGTTTCTAAAACGTATATGTTAATTATGTGTAAATATTAATGTTTAACATAATTTTTATATGCTATGTTTATCTATATATTAGGTGCGCAACTAAATTCCCGCTGTTTGTCAATAGATGGCTCCAGCAGTAAGTGCTGGTCGATTTTGACATATGCAAAACGTCATGAACCAAGCTTAGACATATGGTAAACAAACCGCTTTGACACGTTAGTGATTTTGTTTTGGCGTCATATACTTTTGGTTGTGTGAAAATGTCTGATTTTGTGCCAAATAATCGTCATTTGCGGGAAGTGTTGATTTTCTTATTTCATTCGAAGAAAATGGCGGTTGAAGTGCATCGAGAGCTCTAAAAAGTTTACGGAGATGCTGCTCTAAGTGAAACAACGTGCCGCGATTGATTTCGTCGCTTCAAAGACGGTGATTTCGATGTTGACGACCGTCCGCGTAAAGGAAGGCCAAAAACCTTCGAAGACGCTGAATTGGAGGCATTGCTCGATGACGATCCGTGCCAAACGCAAGAACAGCTTGCTTCAGCATTAGGAGTTACCCGCCAAGCCATTTCCAAGCGATTGCATGCGTTGGGAATGATTCAAAAGCAAGGAACTTGGGTTCCTTATGATCTGAAGCCAAGGGACGTTGAGTGTCGTTTTTTCGCCTGTGAACAACTGCTCCAGCGGCAAAAAAGGAAGGGTTTTCTTCATCGCATCGTGACGGGTGATGAAAAATGGATTCATTACAGCAACCCAAAGAAAAGAAAGTCATGGGGACTGCCCGGTCATGCTTCTACGTCGTCGGCTCGGCCGAATATTCACGCTGCGAAGGTTATGCTGTGTATTTGGTGGGACCAGGTCGGTGTTATTTATTATGAGCTGTTGAAACCGAACGAAACCATCACTGGGGAACGGTATCGAATTCAATTGATGCGATTGAGCCGAGCACTGCGCGAAAAACGGCCACAATACGAGCAGAGGCACGAAAAAGTGATTCTACTGCATGACAACGCTCGGCCTCATGTTGCCAAACCCGTTAAAACCTACTTGGAAACGCTCAAATGGGAAGTCCTATCCCACCCGCCATATTCCCCAGATATTGCGCCGTTTAATTATTACTTGTTCCGTTCGATGGCACATGGTGTGGCTGATCAGCTGCTCCGCTCATATGAAGACATCAAAAAATGGCTTGATTCGTAGATAGCCTCACAAGACGAACGCTTTTACCGTAACGGTATTCGAATTCTGCCAGAAAGATGGGAAAAAGTTGTAGTTAGCGATGGGCAATACTTTGAATGATTCATTTGTAACCATTTTTTCACAATAAAGTTGCATTTTCATAAAAAAAAAAACAGCGAGAACTTAGTTGCGCACCTAATACTACAAATAAATTATAACATATTGCTTTAAATAATATAACTAAAAAACTCTTCTTGAGTATATCAAACAATAAATTAAGGACCATTAGAGTTAACGCACAGGTTGTATAGTGCTATTATAAACTATTAACACATAGTGACACAATCTCGCAAAGAGAACAAATTTTATTAAAAATCAAACGCGTTTCGGTCTCATTTCGCAGACCCTCTTCAGTGAAAACAAGCAGTTGTATAGTGTCGCAAAAAATAAAAAATTGCAAAAGTCGGCGCTAACATTGGTTGTCACAAGATAGTCGCTACAAAATCTTTTGTCTACGGGACTCACAGGCACAAACATAATATATTAATTACAACAATGAGTTGTTTCATTATTCAGAAGCTGCCGGCATTTCATTCAGAGATCGAGAATTTAGGGAAATACTACAACATGTTGCTCGGTTTGACTTAGATCATATTTCGTTTGCGATTATAAAGTAAATATAAACACTGATTCTGTATTGTTGCGGCACTCGGAGGTACATGTTCATAGGCGTAACATCTCACCGGAACTTTCTGACCATTATAGAGGTAGATATCATTATTTTGTCTTTTCTCTCACATTGAGGTTGGTTGCTCTATCTGAATACGTTTT